GTCAGTTTATCAAAGATTCAACGAGGCCGTCTCTTTAGTTAGGATCACGAACTTGATGTAGATTCCGGAGCGCTGTTCGATGTTGGGATCGATCAAAACAATAACAAAATAGTAGTTTTTGTTTAAATGAACCATTAAAAATGTAAATTTTAAATGTATTATAACCTTCGTTCTTAATAAAGCTATAGCTATAATTCGCAAATTAAAAAACAAAACACATGTATATTGTATAGTGTGTTATTATAAAATTACTATAAACATTACTAAAAATTAAAACTAAATAGGCAATAAATGGTTTGACTCTCCTGTTTTTGGATTTCATAGTAGTTGAACCGCTGTGGAATATATAAATGCTAGTACAATAGCGTATAGTTTATTGTTACATTAAGGTTGTCTATTTAAAGTATTTAAGTATCTATAGTATATCTTTATTTTATGTTACTATTAATAAAATCACTTAAAACCTAATTTAATCTTTTTTTTTTGTTGGTTTACAGCTTTGTATTAAACGATTTCCAGCTTACTTTTCTTCTTAGTATATTTTACTCTCTCCATGATTTCTGTCTCTTCATTTTTTAAAGTAAAAATACCTAATATAAAATGAAAAAAATATATGACTTTTTGGAGGGAATATTTCTTGTTTATTTAAATCTTTTGTAAAAAATAAGTTATCTGTTTAAAAAAAAATACAAACGAAATTTGTTCAACAATAAATATTATTTAAGATACTGATTATATTACAAAACGGATATGTCATTGGCGATTCTCTTCAAAATGTCAACATCATTTAATTTCTTATTAGGTGTTTTTTTTTTAAACCATCATAGATCGAGTATAGCGCAATCGTTGTTTTGAAAAAAAAATTAAAATAGTGAAGAATGTTGTTAATGGGTATTATGTGATAGTCTAATAAAAATAACTAGCAATAAAGAATCGTATATACTGTAATAATAAATGTACATAACAGTCAATACTAATGACTTTAATTTAAGATTTTTCGAAAATGTCTAATTCCTTAATACAAGGGTTTTCTAATTGTGCCTCGCAGTGCCCTAGGAATAGATGCATACAACTATTTCTTGTTAATTTAAATTTTACAATAATAATATTCCTGATGGTATTCATGTCAGCCAACCGAGAACAGAGTCACTGCAGCTGAATTCAGCCCATATAGAGCACCGCTAAGAAGTCTGGGAACCCTTGCCTTAATTAATGGGTGACATAACGTCCTTTTAATTGAGTTGTTACAATTCTAAAATCATGCAGATTATTAAAGGAAAAGACATTTAGTTTCTTTGTATTGTAGAATTATATATTTTTTTTTAAGTATAATACGCACAGTATGATTCTAATTGGCCCTAATCAAGTCCTCGGGCTCCAAGCCTTCCGGAGATTCATATGAAATCACTACAGTCGGTCGCGATGGATTCCTGGATGTCGTCCGTGGCCAGAACGGTCCATTGCAACTGTCCTCCGTCGACGGGCACGCCAGAAATAAAATCGAAACACCATCGTTGCCTTTCGAGGCGGAGCACTTCAAGTTCAGCCTTTTTTGCAACCAAAAGAGCGTCGTGGCCGTCTTCGCGTTGTCGGTCGAAAACCAGACCTCTCCTGGCCGTAACCGCTTTGACCAGCATCGGTTGATTTATTGGTATACTACAAGTGCACGATACTAAGAATACTGCGTATATGTATATTACATGTAGGTTTTTGGAATTGTACGGTGTATTCGCTGAAGAATTGCATCGCCCACAGCTGATACGGCGGTAGAAGGAGGAGAGTCCATTGCGCCCACCGTCGACCGTCGCGACTCGCGATACCAAATTAGGATAAGTCCACAAAGGTGCGGAGTTTGCAGTAGGCGGCAAACTACCTATTATAATATAAGCGCGTAGGCGAACCTTTGCCAGACACGTTTGGTTTAATCTCTCGGTCGTGTCTTCTTCTTTGGGATAAATGAATATAAAAAAAAAAAAGTACCAGACGTCCGGATCAAAGCACGTATATATACACGTGATGATACATATGATATATTGTAATGTACTAAAAAAGGTTGTATCAAATATCATCGCTCGCGGTAATCCTTTTTTGTAAACGAATAGAACCCAAATCGTGACCGCTGGGGTGGTCTACGTTGAATACCGTTTAATTGGAATCCTTCGTCGAGCTTACAATGTATAATATTATTCTCATATAGGGTACACCGATTTCACCTAACACGACCGGCCACGGGGACGGGTGTAATTATTTTCCCTTTTCACTTGCCCCATCGTCGCCGTAAGTCATCCGTAGAAATCCTTGGCTGCTTCCTCTCGGTGACCGTCCACGCAAAGCCGACTTCTCCCTCGGTCCTGCCCCGTCCGTCTAAGACAACGACCCGTAAGTACAATACCTTCCGAACGAATTAACACGCGTCCAACGCTGATCCCTGTACCGTGTCGTGATTTGCATTTATTCATTTTTTTTTTTTTTTACCGTCTTTGCAATAATTCTATTAAATAATAATAATAAAAATATTATCGTCATCGCGTAGTCGCCTGTATACAAAACGCACGCGTCACCGTTATTATTGTTTGAGGTCACGTTACCGATTGTTTACACCCGTGTAAAAGCGCGGCACTATTGTTGGAAAATGTTTACATGTAATAAAATATGCAATAACTCTCTCTCTTATCTTAACGACTATCGTTTTCGCGTAAAGGAGCATCTATAACGAATCGCTAGTCGATGACGGCGAGCGCGTGCGCCATTGCCGGATCCAATGAGGTTTTGTTTCCTATTTTTGTACGCGAAACGTTTCCTATTTATATCCAGTTGGTCGAAAAATTGTAATCGCCAGAATAATTAATCCTTTATGAATTTTTTTCAGATGATTTTCGAACCCCTGGCAACGTTGAAACGACCACTCCTCGACAACCTGGCGAGAATGCCATTTGACCTAAGCAAAGACCCCATTACAAGTCATGGACCCACTATGACATGCATGATGGAGTATGTGGTAGACAGTGGCCCAGACGGGAGGGCAAGGTACAAGTGTCTTACTTTTCGTCTTCTCCCCAACACGCCACGTCTTTGGGTACGAACTCTTATATCGACGTGTCCAACGAAGAAGGACGTCTCGATTTTTATCATTTTTCGGTTTATTAAATATTAAAATGGCATTTAATTTGTTTTATCTCCCATAGAGACGATTTGTTACCCCTGACCTCCAAAGAGGTTACAGGGTACTGTAATTGAAATGTATTTTTTGGTTGAGTGCCCCCTTGGATATTTAAAATGACACTTACACTGCTGTCTAGAGGTAGGACTTTACAAATTAACCCTTCAATGCCTAATTGTTTTAATTTTATAATATATATAATTTTTCTATATAGATTAAATCATCAGGAATTTTGAAAAATAAGTAAAAAAGTACCTGTACAACTAAAGAAAATTACGTTTATAACATCCGATTGATAGCAATGTCTTTAATATCTGTAGGGCACCACATAAATTAAATATATTTATTTAAAATAAAATTATATAATAAACATGTTGCATTTTTGCTGTAGTTGGAACTGAAGATATTAAATTCTTACAAAATACGTTATAAATATATATGAATTATCTCGGTTAAGATTTACAATTTGTAGACATAAATACATAACGTATCTAAATTAAAAATATTTTCTGATAAAGTTTTCAAAAAATCAAAATTTAATAAGGAGACTTAATAATAATCATTTTTTAACATCTTCGCTTTTTCTTTTGTCTTGTTTTTAAACACATTTGTTTATGTATTGTTTCTATTATAACATATTATATATTATATTCGTATGGCATTTTTTTGAATATTTCCAAGACCTTAAAATAGTACTAACTAGAATCTATTGATAAAAAGGTTAAATATAAAACCCTAAAAGAAAACAAAACACATAAAGTCAATGAAGGAGGTTTAAGTTGTTCGTAATTTGTAATTTGTTTGTTATCAACAAGTTTTTCGCAGGGTTTGGTATATTAAAACATGTATCCTTTCCTCAATGATTTGTTATAGCATTGTAATTTCTTAAACTATAAGTGGGAGAATTCTGAGAGTATTGAAATTAAAATGGAGCTCATGTCTCACCTTAAAACAGTTTTGACCCGCTTCTGATACCTAGACGAAATTTGATTTGCCTTTATCGAAACGTTTTTAAACAAATGGCCTTATTATTATTTTGGGGTTTATTTTAATTGGCACGCTTACGCCCTTCCCCTCTACTGACCATTAGGGTTTTGTGAAATTTTAGTACCTTTGACATAATACAAATAAAAAAAAATGTATATATTTTTTGGAATAGGCTGCTCCCCTGAATGCAGAACTCGTTAAAGCTGCTGCTGCAATAGTAATTAGTAATTCGAGCGAAACGTCGATTTGTTTCGATTGGACATAAATCGAAACAAAGAGAGAATATTATGCGGTTATTTGTACGTTATAAATGGTTATCGCACAAAACCGCGGGCTATGATGATTTTGATAACGTTACCGAAACGATAAAATAATAAGAGAGGGAAGAAACCTATATCTTGCACGGTGCGGCGGCCACATGGCTGTTGGAAATTTATTATTATTATTATTATTACAATATTCAGTTTTTTTGTTATTCGCTAGTACGATTATAATATTGTGTATTTATAATTTGTTTTTTCTATCATCGTTACTACAGTGAGTGTGTGTGTAGTGAGAGGTACGGCGATGACGACGGGGCATCGCATATAGTAGTAAGGCACGCACTCGCATGGACGCGACGGATAGGTAGACGGGTGGGAACGGCGGTGGAGTGTAAATCTTGCGCGCGCTCCGAAGCGCGTGGACGAACCGGTATTGTTGTTGCGGGTCGGAGCCGCGGCGGTGGGGGTTGCCCGATAGGACGGGCGAACGGTGGCGGTGGATGACGTGCCACCGTCCCTCCCCACCGCCGAACGCGCCGCCATCGTACGTGACCTCGGCGGTGACGCTCGCCTCCGTGTACGGACCGGAATATTCATTCTCTCTCCGTACGCCGTGTCACACGCAATCTCGACGTTCGCGCGCCCGCCCGGCGTCCATTTTGTGTGTTGAGTGTTTAATATTATATATTGTTTTTATTATTATTTGTCGGCGTTATTATCACCGTTGCAGTCTTTTTGTACCGACCGGTCAACAGTCGGCGTATGTGTACGTTATACCGTGGCGTTTATTATTTTTGTTAACTCGTTTGTTTTGTTTTTGCTAAAACACGGACTACCTACTACACCGGTTGTGTGTCGCGCGCGCGTGTGTGTGTGTAGGCTTACGAATATTATTATAGTACGTTATTATTAAACTGTGTGCGCGCGCTGTGCAGTGTGGTGTTCGTCGTACGACCGACATCGACCAAAGTACTCTGATCGCGCCATTATATTTAATTGTGTTATCGCTTCAACCCGTCTCGTCGACTAAACAACGACCATGACGGTTACGTGCGTGTCGTTGGCAGCCGAAGGAGGCGTCGTCGGCAGACGAGTGTTGATGGCAAAAACGGATTCGCTGAGCAACGTTGATAACAATAACGGACCGGCTACGGCCACAGCGGCGGCGACCGCCGCCGCGTCGGTTACGGGCAAGGCGTCTGTGCTGAGCGTGAAACGCGTGCTGTTCGGGCCGCCGGCCGATCGGTCGGAGACGCGGGCGTGGCTTGAGCGACAACTCCACTCGTCGACGGCGGCGAATTCGCGTTCCTGGAACTTCGATTTCGTCAACGAGCGGCCGATGCGCGACAGCCCGGCCGACCGTTACGCGTGGGAACGCGTCTGTCCACCGCTACTACAAACGGCCACTACTGCCGCCACCACTACGACCACCGCCGCCGCCGCGGCAGGCGATGACCAACAGACCAACGGCGGTTCTTGTAGCAGAAAACGACAATCTAAAGTCACAGGTGATTATTGTTTTATCGTATATTGTAGACAAATTTTAACACGGTTTTTTCTTTTTTGGGTAATATCGTTTGTTTTGCCCGAGGGCGATCCTCCATCGTTTTCCGTTCCCTCGCCTTTCCCTCCCCCCGGGCACGACAACGGACCCGGACAATAGACACCTGCGTTGATGAGGGAGAAAAGGGTGCAGTGAACCCTCCGTCGTTGGGTTAACGGACGACGAGGAGGGTGACCGCGGTGCCGCTACTGTGGGAAAAACGTAATAAAAGTCCATAACGTTCCGAGGGAGGGAGTCGTTTATGTATTTCATTTTTTTTTTATTCCTAATCTTTTTTTATTACTTCAAACCCTTTTTGAATTAAAATAAAGTGTCGCCCAAAGAAAATCTGTTGTTTATGTCCGCCCACCGATTGGTTTCAGTCGATAAAACGCAGAACCTTTGTTGCCGTCATCCAAGGGTGAGCGTTATCGTCATTTTTTGTTGTTTCCAAATGGCGTAAAAAAAAAAAAACTACTAATATGCATAAAAAATACGGTAGCATATAAGCGTGTGTACATAATAAATAAAAAATATATATACATAAATTTATATAGTATGTATACCGATTGCGAAATGGCGCGAAAACAATTAAAAAAAAAAAAAACGTCAAACGGAGAGTGAGTGAGAGACCTTGAATAATAATATTATATTATGTTTTAGCTGGTGTACGTTTTTATTATTATTTTTTCTAGAAATTGCGCGCATTTTTTTTAGGTTATGCAAATATCGATATTAAAATATGGTGTATGTGTGTGTGTGTGTTTTATGACGAAGACGCAAATAATATTATTTTTTATTTTTCCCTGCTCGACCCGCCGTATGAGTGAGAAAGAGACAGAGAAGTGTCACTGTATTTATCATACTCTAGACGTGTTGTATACACTACTATATTATATTATAATAAATATTAGGATCAGCCTGTAATAATAATAATAATAAGCTCGCCTCGCATATATGTACACACGTGTTCAGGAGACCGGTTTTTTTTCATTCTCCGACTTTATATCGTCCTACACATATATTGGTGGGGGTAAAACTACACAACTCTTGGGACACGAACTAAATTCATGATAATATTATTATAAAAATAATAAAAGAAAAAAGTGTATCGGCTAAAAAATAGGCGTGGCGGTCGTGTATTTATTATCATCCGAGCTATGAGATATCTGTATTCTTATTTTTATTTTTTATTCCATTCGAGTCTGTGTGTAATTTACGTTGTAAGGTCGCTGCCCCGTAATATATATATTTTTTTCAAGCATTAAAAAACGATTTTACCCCCCCTCCCCCACATCTTAATTGTTTTTAATATGTCACGAGTAGTAATAATATACACCTAAAACCCATCGCTTAACCTCTATACATTTGGCAATTAAACCCAGGTTTTTTGCGTACACCACAGATCAAACTGATAATTTTAGTTTGGGATATACTAAACAATTGCTGTATGAATTTAAAAAAATAAAAAACTTAAAACTAATTGTTTATGATTTTTTCCAGATTTCATGAGCAAAACTAAAAAACGACCATTGAGCGCTGTCGGATCGTCGTCAAATAAACTTGTTGACGAAGAGTTCACCCTGTCGGCGAGCAGCAAGAGAACACGTCGAACGGCTATCTAAATTTGGAAACGGACGCACAAGAGTAAATATGATAAAAAAATAACGCGAGTGCCCATTAAGTTTTTTTTTCTCATTTTCACCTCTAAATTTCAAGATCTCCCAAATAGATAGTCTTAACCTATATAATATTATCTTCTATACAGGGTTCTTCCTGAGTTAAACACTTTTATTGCATTATTTATGTGTGTATAAATTCTTTTTTTTCAACTCCCATCGTTATTGTACAGATGTTTTTAAATTTTAAAATTTTTTAAAAATTATGTATTTTTTTAAACAATTAATATTTATACTGTTTTGTTTTTTTTGATCTCCTTCACGAATATTGTTCGGTTTCCCATTTGCTTATTACGCGCAGTCCAATATTTTGTTGTTTTATGTGTCTTGACAAAAATGTTAACTAAGAAATCCCATCTTTTAGATGAATGTATTTTCTTCGTAAAAGAACAACAATAATAATAATTTAAAAATATATAGACATCATTTAACCGATATGTTAACTTCTCAGTTTGACGTCTTTTTGTTTAGTATTAGCTCTAGATTTTAATGTTAATGTGCAATTATACATTTAACTTTTAATTTTAGCTTGTTAGTTTAAATCTAAAAAAACAACATTTACAAGCCAAAATTGTATATGTAATAAATATATCTATAATATATATTATATATATAATGTAGCATGCATCATTCATAAACAGATTTAACAATGCTGTCATAAAACTTTTAACAATTTTTTTGAATTTGCAGTTATCATCATTACAGAAATAATAATAATACTTCATTTTCGAGAAGATCTCAGTTTTAAAGATAAAAATATCCAAAGATTCATTGGTCTCTATTACTAATTTTACAAACATCCAAAGATATATTTGTCAAATTTTTCAGTTCATGAATCAAAATTACAGACTGTTTCATAGTTTTTTAAATTTTAATTCTGTATTACTATATGATTAAAAAAATTTCAGAAGTGCCGTGTTAAAAACGACAGCTATGTATTTAATTTTAATTAAAAAAAAAAAAAATCATTCAAAGCGTATCATCACAAGGGAAAACAAGTTTAACTTAAAACAGATTTTTTATTATTCCAATATGGGACTGAAATGATCTCATTGTTATTAACTTTTTTTTTACACAAGGTTATTTTGAACAAAAAATTCACTTCTTGTTGTAAAATGTCTTGTATAGATTAATTGTTTTTTTTTTTGTTTATACATATTTTTAATACACATATATATATGTATACATGTATATTATATATATATATATAAAGAAAAAAAATCTAAAAGTTGTAAGCTCGCTCTCGGGTTGTCTTCGTTCTCTATTGTCAAAATTTGTTCTCTTGATAATTTACATTCAACCTGTGATGTATTATTCTGATCTCAACAGGAAAAAAAAATTGTTTTCGAAAGTATATATTTGAATGTAATACGTTTTATATTATTATAATTATTATGTAATATGTTTATTTATATATATATATATTGTAAGAGAAATGTAATTTTTACAATTTAGACCGGATAACAATTTTTTGTATTTTTTTTTTTAAATTATTATTTGGTTATTATTAAAAGGAAGTTAACATTTTGAAATTGTACATACAGTTTATATAGGAATCGTGTTGTTTTTTTTTAATTTGACAGTGTTTTTTTAGACATATAAATACCGTAGACATTAGACATATAATACAATTGTAGACTATTTGTCTTAAGTTAAATAAATGACATAAATATATATACATATTTATATATTGTATAAAAATAAAATAAATGTATTTGTATTTAAGAAATGAAATACTTATTTTGGATAAACAGAAAATATAGTATTTAAATATTTTATTTTTCATGTTAATATATATTTTTTTTCGATGAAAAGTGGTTTACCAAGTTTACATTTTTAATAAAAATATGTATATTACCATTAACACAAATGGTTTTATCTATTTTTCACGATTATTACCCTTTCTTGATTTGGCTTCTAGTAGTAATATGAAAAAAGGTTTGTTTTTTAAAAAATATTAAAACAAACGTCAATTATGTTTGCATCAAAGCTGCACCAAAAGGCACATTTTCATGATTATGCAATAGGTACAAAGGAACAAAGGTCGTACAAAGGAAAGACCTGTTACTGGTAAGACGATTTGAATCACTTGTGTTGGAGTCGCAATGATTTCCTACTAAGCTCAAAAAGAGTCGTGATCTTTAGAACCGTGTATTACTTATTATTAAGGAGATATGTCTGAATCATTTTTTAAAGTGTTTCTGTTGAAAAATGATATTTTTGGCGATTTATAAATAACACGAATAAACCAAAAACCGTTTTAAGAAAACTGGCATCGAAAGGGTGTTCGATAACCTAACTTAAATTCTGGCGGTTGACGTGTGTGTCTGTACGTTTAGGGCTCGGCCAGTTGCAGGTAAGAAAATGTAATTTAGGTTAGAGGCGTCTCGAGTCTAGACTAGTGCGAGAAGTTTTATCACTTCGGATGCCTTTGCAGATGGAAATAAGGATATTACTGAATTTTAGCGTCAATATGATACCAATTGGGTTACCCTTGGAAATTATCAATGAGACTAGATATAATACAGACGGATCTGTAGTTTTTGCAAGATAAGATAAAACCCCCATGTAGATTAAAGAAGTTACAAATGTATTAGGGCTGAGTAAATTTATTACAAACAGTGTTGTGGTGTTCTTTTGCTAAGTTCAAAACTAGTTACAGAATTAATGTAGTGTTATTTGTGAATTGTTTTAAACTCGTATGAAGCATTTTAAAAGATAGATTGCCGTGTGATGAGTTCACTATGGTACTAAATTTGGATTCAATGAAAAAAAACCTAAAGACATGAATTAAAAATGAAATTACTGTTATGCCATATTATTGAGGTAACTAATTTTGAAAAATTCTTTATAAATTGCCTTTTAGCCACAAATAAATCTTATACAAATTTTTTACTCAAAAAAAAACTTTTAAATACTTAGAATACCACAGGAATTTGCCAGGGGATTTGTTTTGGGTGTTAAAACACCCCCCTCCCTCGGTCGTATTTAAGCCCAAAATACTTTTTTTTACTAAATGCTGGTTAGGTGTAACCAGCATTTAGTACACACCCTCTGCCTACGCGTCTGCATACACTTCATATTTTAGAGAAAAAAAACAGGAAAATTAAATTAAAAATAATAAATTGTTATAAATAAAGTACAGTTTTTTAAAACTATAATAAAATGCACATCAAAGGCTTGAGCTGGCCCGAGAATTTTTTCTAATTGCGCCACCGCTCTTTATAGGTTGAATTAAAGGTGCCAAAGGCATCTGAATAATACCCTCTTCCTAGTCGCGTATTAACTTCAAATTTTCGGAGTTTGGGTAGATTATAGGTATAATTATGCAATATTTATTCTTATGACTTTTCAGATTTGTGACTTCGTGTAGCTGAACGACGTTAAAACTATGTAGGTGGCACGTTGTTTGCTGCTCATATGTTTTTTTAAAAAAAAAGACGTTGTTTTTCCTAATTATTTAAATGCGATAAAACCCTACCCAACACGGGTCGTGTGTCGTCGCCTTCCTTTATGACGCCGCGGGTGTGCTATTTTAAAAATAGTCAACATTATGTGTGAGTACTAAGTAGTCGCCGTCGCCCATCGGATGCACTTGTAAATGGATACACAGACACATTACCAGGGGTTAGTTGTTTTTATCTGTTGGCGTATAATGTGTATTATATTGTATTGTTACAGTGAAAAGGATCTCGGCGGGTTTTTCGAGGCTCCGAACCTATTCGACACTGGTGGCGGCAATATTATCTTATTAAATCGGTCGGGGTGGCCATGGGGCTATTTGTCACTTATTTATCTTCGCCCGCGTGTATGTGTATGTAAGAAATCAATTGGCTCCAAAAAAAAAAAAAAAAATCAAGATAAGTAACGCAATATACTTGCGCAGACGACGGCATCGCCTCTCTCACCCCCGCTGGGACACGCCACTGTCTATATAATGTTGTACACCGTCGCCAACGGTCATCGAGTGTACAAAATTAAGGGTGTTTATTTTCGAAAAAAAATCAAATAAAAATAAAGATAATAATATTATGTTGTACTACAGAATATTTGGGTCAGATAATGACGATCCTCTCGGACGCGACACACGTGCAACCCCCTTAAGTATATCACTGTACATGCGTTATCATTGCATACGTGTGACGAACCGACATCGTTGCAACAACGGTCTATAAGAGGTTTGGCGCCTTTTTTTTTCTTTTTTTATCGCATCTTACTTGACTCTAAGCCCGAAATTGTGTAAACGCACGGGTCGGCGCAAACAAACGCGTTTGTTTTGTACACCATCCGGATGCGGTCTTTGGGTCGTACAATATAATAATATTATGTATTTACATCCGTGACGCTAGTAAAAATGTACAGAGTTGTCAGAAACAAATTTGAAACTGAAAAAATTTGTTAAACGATCAAATGTGTGTTTTCATTATTCGACACCCCTCGTCCAGTGACGATCGGTTGGCTATAAACATATGTTTAGGCAGATATTGCATATAGGTGTACAATAACGCATAACTCCTTTGATCTCTAGGGTTGTACTACCGGTTTTCAAATATTCACACTACATCCGGACTGAACGGATATTTGTCACGAAGGGTACACACAAATACAAGAGGGTCCAGGTGGGTAGGCAAAGAACCGTCTTCAAAATAGTTACCGACTTGGAATAAAATACGGTTCATGGAATAGGTTTGATGTATGGCTTAGCCCGGTTAAGTATATCTAACCTTCGACATAAGCGTAGTAAAATTACTTAGAAAAAAATGTTTACTATTATTTTGTAGTTTTTTACAATTTCGGAAGCGATTTCAAAAAACGGACTTGCTGGAAAAAGTCTTGAGACCAGATTCGAATTCAGGAAACAAAATAATCTATAAAATGTATTTTATGGGTTTTGTTCCAAACACAATATCAAGTAATTACATTTACATCAATCATTAACTTTTTCATAGCTTCGAGATGTTTTAAGCATTTCTGATTTTTTTTTTAATTGTTAAAATTTGTAAAAAAACTAATAAAATGAAAATTTAATTTGCTTGAAAAATAAACACAAAATGCTTCATAAGTTTCGGAGACTACATATCTTATCAGTCGGCCATGCTCGAACAGTTCCAAATTGTAGCCGAAGAGCTAAACATTTTGTTAAGTTTTACATTTTGTATAGTTATTAGTGGAAGGTACCTTGAGAGTTTAGATTCTTCGAACCCTTTTCTAGCTCCTACACGATTTAGTAAAATATGTCAGTGACCTAAATTACTTTTTTTGTTATTTGACCCTTCCTTGGTCGGCACCCGTTAACCCTAATGGGTTAGAAGAAAATCAATAACACCTGATTTTTACTAAATTGAGTTTATTCTATGGTTCTGACCTCGAAAGATTGTAATTACTAATTTATAAATTAAAAAACAAAACAAAGTCTTCTTTGGCAACAATATTCCTTACGCGGAAACATTTATACATGTATCGCGCGCACTTAAACGTGTACATCATATACGGATATTTTTGGATGCAAACACATTTTGACAACGTCAACAAAGGACATGCAACAATATAGTATACACGTATATCTAATAATAATAAAGCTAAGTATGTGCCATGAGTATTGTCAGCGATCCATAATTTTTCACTAATAAAATGTTGCGCAGGTCTGTCGCGTGCATTGGTTTAATAAGGTTTTTTTTTTATGTAGTTAACTGACCTCGATACATTCGCTACTGTGTAAGATGCATATTTGTACACATGCACGTATTAATATTATTGTTGCCGTCGGGTGTTTTGCATTGCAGCTGTTTTGCGTTAAGGTATACTAACAGCGACAACAAGTTGGTAGGTACACACGAACTGTGCAAACCGATATCAATTTATATTATGTACAGTTTATTATTATAAATAATGATTGATGCATTGCCTAAAAACTCGACAGGTGGACAAATTATAATATTAAATTCGACCAGAGTAGACATTAAACTCTAAACATTTGCTGGGCTTCAACATAAAAAGTAGTAGATTTTTTTTTGGAGGGGGGCCTTATGATTTTTACTCCAACTCTGAATTCGATATACAGCCAATTTTCGCATAATGTACCTTGTATGGACGCCCTGCTCTGGCATGCATTGATATAATATGATTATGGTCTGGATATTATTTTGTGTATATACATACGAAGGTATCATAGGCGCCGCAGGTAAAGGTATAACATGCGGTATCGTTGCAGCGTGAAATGAATAAAACGGTCGTTTCGTGCACGGTGTCGATTGTAAAGGATTAAGATGTGAAGTGAACGGGAAATCGTATAGACGGTTACGTGACTGGCGTTTTTAATATCAAATAAAAAGGTCAGATGGACTATCCAACAGGCAGTCTATCATGTTAAATGCCAAGAACACGACTTGTATTTTCTGGCTTTAATGTATAACAATTCTCATGTTTATAGACTATGACAACTATTACATTAGTAACTAGTAAGTAGTATGTATATTACACTGTGCGTAATGAACGCATTCGCATATAACATAAAAATAAAATCAAGCTTCTATAAACGCAATGTCGGTCAACTGGAACGCCACACAAAAATCGCAGATTTACTATAATAATATGTTAAGTAGTTAATATTTAAGTAAATCACGTTTGGTTCTATCACTGGACGGCCTCCCTTCTCATATTATATCACAGTTTTATTTTGCTGTATATATATTATTGTTAATATTTGCTTATTATGCCTTGTAGCATAGATTGTAAATATTCTTTAAATAAAAAAAA